TTTTTTTTTTTTTTTTTTTTTTTTTTTTTTAGAACATAACAATGTTTTAATACATTTTGATACATATCCCTTACTATTCAAGAACATGTTATTTTCATAAGTATTATACGTCACATTCTTATTGGCAGATTTCTTATCAGGCAGATAAGCATTCGTTTATTCAAGAGGTTTGAATAATTAATATTAATTTTTGGCATACGTTATACAATAAATTTTGCTAAAAATTCTCAATAAAAGATGTCACGTAAGTCAATAAAGTTCATGTGCAAATAAACACTATTGGTCAATTCAAAAACTCGTATAAAGTTAATAAACTTTCTCCCATGTTATACCCACACGTTCTGCGGATTTTTGCATTCTTCAATTTCCCGAAAATGCATAAACATTCGTTGTGCAGTTACAACTGCATTGTATTAAAATTCAACAGATCGATGTGGAAATTTCAGAATTTTGCAAACGATATGCGACCTTTATTATTCGTCTCTTATCCAGACGTGGCAGCTAAATTATGCCGTCATTCTTCAGCAGTAACGACTCTCGTCTCAGAATATAACGTCTAAACAAGAGAAACACAGGTTGAAAACGTTCTCCAATTTTACGCCGCTCTCGAGGAATATTCTCTAATCACCGGTTCCGTTCACGATCGATGCGAAGAAGTGGTTCCCCTCTGCGTTACGTGATTAATAACCCACTGAAGTTTGTAGATGGTTGAAGAACGAATCTTTCCTCTCGCGACACGTGGCAATTGCCTCGCGTACGTAATAATTAAAATTCAGAATATCACTCCAAGCTGTGTAACGAAGGAATCTCTCAAACTTTAATCAGCTAAGGAAGTCGACATGCTGAAAATATCACAGACGAAGGAGTGTATTGATTGTGAGTATTATCATTAAATTGGCGATACAATTGAAAATGAAAATAATTTTGCGTGAAAAATTAAGTCGAGGAGAGGGAATTAATTTTGTCATTTAGAAGTTGGGAAAGATCGAGATTAAAAATCTGTCAATGTGGTTAACTTATTAATTGTATTACGAATTGATGCTACCATTTGAAAAGAAAGATTTATCAATTTCAATTGTTATATAATATAATTATTAAATTAAAGTTAAAAATTGATAGAAGATCATTCTGTGCGTGAAAGTGATTAAAGTTCTACCAATTTAATGCTCCATTCAAAAAAAAAGAAAAATAAACTTCGAGTATTTTTAGTTAAGGATCAGTCTGGTAAATTATCTAGAAAACTTACGATTTACAATCTCTGTGGATTATTTGCTCTTGTCCTCTCTAAAATTCACGACGAATTTTCAAATTCGATTTTCCCGAAAATAAGGCATTAAACGAACAAATTTTAGCCCTTCTCTTCGATTTATTTTTTCTGTCTAGAATTATCTTCATTTTCAACTGTATCGCGAGTCACACGACATCCCGCACATCTACGAAGGCTTGTACACTTTCGTCTGCGACGTTCCGAATTTTCCGGAGCCCTTTGCGATTTCCGGAACGGGTCGCGATCTCGAAGGAACCACCCCTTTCGCCGAGCATCCTTCTTTCGGTCGCTTTGGCCGTTCCCTCGGTGCTCGTTAATTCGAATGACAGTCGATACTCGGGCATCGTATTAATTATCCCGTGATAGAACCCGCGGCTCGAGTCGGTCTACTTTCCTCGGTAATTAATACTTCACAACCTCCCTCAAGGCTTCTCCGATAAGTACGACGAGATTCTTGCTCGAATCACATTTTTCTTCCTCTTCGTTCTTCTTCTCTTTCCTTTTTTCAAACTGTAGCGATCGAGCACCTAATCTTCCATTCGATCTCGGCTTTTTCGTTTTATTTCTTCTCTTTATTCGTTTCTTTTCTTTCTTTTTTTTTTTTTTGGTTTTTTAAAAATTCTTTAGTTTAATTGGTAGATCAATTGGTGGTTAATCGAATTAAGATTAACATGTAATTTGGTCGATTCGAAGATTCTTTTTCCCCTAATTCTTTCATGGACTTAACACGCAGTAGTTGAATTGCGAAAATTCAATTAGCGCCGCGATCGTTTAAACCTTGAAACGACACGTGGCGTGATTTCTATTTTTGATGATGCGTAAGACGATGGTCTGTGAAATGACGATACAAAAGTCATTTGTCAAACTGTTACACCGAAGGGGTGTATTTCGTTACTTTTAAAAAGTTCGATTATTCTTTAGATAAATGGTATCAATTTCCTAAAAACATGAAACGTACAGAGATTGTCGCCGAGATGTGTCAAGAATAGAACTTTCCTCCAGTTTGAAGTCACCTGTGCTTTGTCATTTCCAAAAGCTGCCTTGCAACAAGTTGAGAAGTGCGAAAATTCGTAATTGCTGTACACAGCCTAGAAATCTGAATCTCCAAGTTTCAATCTCGGTCCGTTGTAACCCTCTTGGAAAGAAAATTACAACTCGACCCTAGTCGTTGAAAGATTAACGAAGCCTACCCCGTCGGTTGACCTCTGCTCGAGCACGAGTCCTTCTCGCAACGAAAATCGGGATGAGCTTGGCCGTGAGAGGCACAGGTCGGTGTGGAAGATAGGGAAGTTGAAAATACAGTTTGAGACGGGAAGGGTGCACGCGTGCAGAGATGCACGAACGGGCGGTGGTTCCTTTGGCCCGGTAGATAGCGAAGTCGATGGCAGTGTCCCAAAGAGAATTTCCTAGTAGCACTAGCGGTCCCGGGGTTGGCAAGCTGCAGTCGCTCGGAGTTACCCGTTGCAAGTCACCTTTCCCTGCCCTCCCGTGTTTCTCCATTTTCTTTCCGTTCCATTTATTTGCTCGTGTATATACGCGCATGTAAATCTAGGCTACGCGAAGAACCCGGAGAACGTGGACGACCGCGCTGTCCTGCATTTATTTTTATGGATGCCGTTGTAAACAAGCACCGTGTGACACTTTGCGCACCTGGATAGGGGGAGGAGGTTCTTACAACATTCTCGGAGCGAGTTCTTCCGTTCGTGCTGGAATGTACACGATACGTGGTTCGATCGTTGAATTGGTTTGTCGTTTAGTTGTACAGGGTTAGGATGAATTTAGTAGGCATCTCTAGGGCAGATTACTGAGAAAGAAATATATTTGCACAGAAATATCACACATTGAAAAGTACGTGGTCATGTATAATTGCTCGCTTTGAACAATTCATCTTTTCCTTCGAACTTCTGTTTAAAGAAAGATGTGTTTTGTTATACATTTGGACTACTCAAATCCATGTTTTATACTTTACCGCTATTTAATTTTTCTAGTGGATATATCATGGATGTGAAATTGATACGATTACATGTAGCCACGTCAGAATAAAATGAACATGTGCTAATGTAATACTGATTTACCGTTCTAAAGAATTAATAAAGATGATAGAAGACGCAGAAATGCCAATATTTGCTTGACTTTAAAAATTATCGATCACAAGAAGGTTAAATCTTGTTGTTAGATTCATTAATTAATCAAGGAAGCTTAAAAGGATTACTACTTGAAATGTAATACATACTTTACATAAAATAAAGAAATTGGTTATACAAAAGATACTCTCTGTGCTCCTTAACTTTTTTTTTTCATCACAAACGATGGTTTAATGAAACAGACAGTCTAGTCTGGTACGTCACCGCACAGCATACGCGTGTAACACCTATGTACAGCATAATCGAAAATTGCGAACTTTACGTAGTTACAGAAGTTGCAGCTATCTCATCGCCTACCAGTCAAACCTAACTTCGAGAGTCGGTATCGCTAACTCGGTACAGACATCAATGTTTGATATATCAGAAAAAGGAAAGGCTACGAAGTTAGAGAAACGAGTCGTAAACAGGTCGCGTAGCTCGGAAGCATGGGTCTTCGTTCTCGGAAGAGCAAGAGGGTTTTCTTGCGAGGGTT